AACTGCTCCATTTGAGCCATTATGATCAGTCAGTTTACGTTTCCTAACATACAAGGTAGTTTTCCTTGTGACTATCACGGCCAGGAGGGTATCGGAGCTGGCGGCCCTTTCGGTCGGGGAGGACCTTTGTATTTTCCACGCCAATGGAGTTGTCCTAAGGTTGGACCTGGCCTTCATCCCTAAGATCAATTCCTACTTCCACCGAGCACAGGAACTGATCTTGCCGGACTTTTGCCCAGCGCCCTTGCATGCCTGGGAGCGGATCTGGCACACATTAGATGTTAGGCGGGCCCTCCGTATATATATTAAGCAGACTGCAGCCTTTAGAAGAACGGAGGCTATGTTTGTATCTTTTCAACCAACTACAATGGGTCAGAAGATTACACTGTCGGCCATAGGCAGGTGGATTGGGCTGCATCACTACGGCGTACGACTTGCAAGGGCTCACCAGACCAAGACAAATTACGGCCCACTTCACATGAAGCGCAGCGACAACAGCTGCATGGGCCACTTAGGCTTCGGTGGAGGAAATTTGTGGAGCAGCAACCTGGTCTTCTTCACCTTTTATTTGACATTACAGAGTTGATACGTTTGCCTCAGTGGATGCAGCTTTTGGCAGATGGGTCTTGCAACAAGTATTGACAACAACCCAGACTCAGGACCAGCTGATGACCCCCCCGTAGGACATCAGCTTTGGTATGTCCCATGCTGTCTGGATCCTATCGACACCACTCTGGAGCAGGGGTGTTGGTCTTACCTGAGACGCTCCTTCTCAGAGGGTGGAGATAGGATCCAGCCCCACCCTGAAGATCGTCTGGTCTGGGGTGCAGGTGTGCGTGTGGAAATTTGCCATCAACCACGTGCATCGCTTTGACCTCATCGAAAACTGTGGACCATTAAGGAGGATGAGTTGTGTCCTCAGTTTAAACTCATCTATAGAGCAAGTAGACCAGAGTCATCTCATGCTGTCTGGATCCTATCTCCACCCTCTGAGAAGGAGTGTCTCAGGTAAGACCAATGCCCCTTTTCCCAACCTTAGATTGAAAATGTAAAGGATCCATATTAGAAATTACTTATGTAACTTATCAGAAGTTACTAGGTAGGGCAAAGAGCATCCTGAAACTCTGTAATTTTGCTGTGGTTGACAGTCTTAAGATCTAAAAGAGCCCTTTCCCTCCTCCCCTCCTCTAAGGTTAAAGAACAAAGCTGGATTTTTTGTCTTCCAAATTCAAGAATTCTTGTGGATATTTTTGTTCAGTGGCAAAAGGTCTCATGACAATCTGAAAATAAATTATCTTGCCTGAATAAGGGAGAAGTTCTGGTGATGAAGATGACCCTTTGCTAAACAGACAGTTGCATGATGAGAAGAATGCAGCCGTAGCTTTGAACTCATTGAATGCAGAACAGAGGTTGAAGCTGACCATAGAATCATAGGGCTGGAAAGGACCTTGGCAGTCCATATGGATCTGTTTTCTCCTCTGAACCCAGAGGGACTTTCATCAACTTGGTTCATATCAGTTGTCAGTGACCAGTGTAGTTTGGGGAATAGGTTTGGGGTTCCATGATGTTGGAAAATGGCAGTTTGTTAACAGAAGTTGTGCGTCTCCATCTCTTGGCACACTGGTTTTTTTTTTAACCAAAGTTTGATTTATGTATGTATTAATACTATAAGGTACAATACAGAAATACAAAAGAAAATAGTAGGAAAGATAGGGGAGGGAAAAGGGAAGGGAAAAGTAGGGAAAAGAAAAAAAAAAGGTGTTGATTTCCGACTTCCTTTGCTGCAGTAGAACAACATCAAATCTCAATTTTTTACATTTACATGATAGTATAAACTAGTCATTTCTATAACAACAAATCTATCTAATCAATAAAACCCAAAGTCAATGTTTCATTTTTTTCCACCTTGAGCACAAAGTCTAGAAGTGGTTTCCAAGTAGAAAGAAAAGTAGTTGTATTTTTGTCTTTAATCAAAGCAGTCAGTTTGGCCATCTCTGCTAACTCCCATCAACTTCTGCAGCAGTTCATCCATTGTGGGGGCCCACTGATTTTTTATTTTTTAAAAATTGCTTCAATTAGGAAATGTAGTGATTTGAATTGCAACCTGGCCTTGGTTTTCTAACAGTGAAGAAGCAATTTACAAGGGCTGTTTTCTGTTCAGGCTTGGAAATTGGGGAAAGTTGAAATGTTTGGCTGTGAAAGTGGTGTCTTACAGAATTTACCTTTGTATTGGGCATTTTAGTGTGCTCCAGACAAATGATAGTTCCAGTTAAACACAAGCTTGTAGAAATTCTTCCTGAAATGCAGGATAAACAGGCTCGAATGGCATTTGGGTGCAGCTTTTGTGCACATATGTGCACAGTTACTCATTTAGTTGTATATGGTACAACTCAATCATGACCCTAAATGGCTTGCCAAACTTAATGGACCAGAAGAAATAAAAGTAGAGTCAGAAGGAAGGAAGGAATATGCAACAAGGACTGATAATGACAAAAGTAGCATTTCCAGTTAGTGTTAATATTGGAGTCTTCTGGCTATAGATAACGGAAAGACACTGGTTAGGAAGAGCTGCAAGATGCATTGGCCAAATGGTAGTTTATAGCTCTGAGGTCCTGGCATTGGCAAGCTAATTAATGCACATAGCTTGTTAAGAATACCATCACAAACAACTGGGGAGCTGGCTGCTTTTAGTAATTGTCACATCTGTGCTTTCATTATTTATTTAAAGGAGAAAGAGAAACACTGAGATCAGGAGGAAATTAAATGAAGAAAACACAGTAAGCACCTCCCCCCCATGTACATACATAGAAGCAGAAATGGTAAAAAAACAATAGTCCAGAAATAAGTCTGTCACTGGTATTAAGAGCAGCCCAGTGCCCTGCAGAAGCCTCATCAGGAAACAGCTTCTGCCATTCAAGATAGCATTTCATCAGATCTATGGACTGTGGCCCAGGAAATGTTCTTAAAATAAATCAGATTTTTTTTTAAAGAGAGCCACCAGAGACACTTCTATGGTACAAATGCCATTTATCGTGTATTAGATTACCTAGCAAATGATATTGACAAAACACTTTTTAGAAAATAGACCATAGGCAGGAAGTTAGTACAATTGCAATTCTGAAGAAGGTGAAACTTCCAGTCTACACACAAGGTATTTATGCTCTCAATCTTTCACACATCTCTCAGAATTTCTGGGACTTTCTATTGGAAATCCTAGGCTGTAGATTAATTTTGTTTTACCCATTGGGTGATTGGCAATGATCTGCTTCATTAACAAGGTTATTTAAATGTCCCATTAATTCTTACTACTACCCTAGTTAGTTCCCTTTTCCTGCATAGCTAAAGAACCTTGTAAGTATAGGTGAAACTCGAAAAATTAGAATATCATGCAAAAGTTAATTTATTTCAGTAATGCAACCTAAAAGGTGAACCTATTAAATGCAAAGCAAGATAGTTCAAGCTGTGATTTGTCATAATTGTGATGATGATGGCTTACAGCTCATGAAAACCCCAAATCCACAATCTCAGAAAATTAGAATATTATGAAAAGGTTCAATATTCTAGGCTCAAAGTGTCCCATTCTAATCAGCTAATTAAGCCATAACACCTGCAAAGGGTTCCCGAACCTTTAAATGGTCTCTCAGTCAGGTTCAGTAGGAATCATAATCATGGGACAGACTGCTGACCTGACAGTTGTGCAGAAAACCATCATTGACACACTCCATAAGGAGGGAAAGCCTCAAAAGGTAATTGCAAAAGAAGTTGGATGTTCCCAAAGTGCTGTATCAAAGCACATGAATAGAAAGTTATGTGGAAGGGAAAAGTGTGGAAGAAAAAGGTGCACAAGCAACAGGGATGACCACAGCCTGGAGAGGATTGTCAGGAAAAGGCCATTCAAAAGTGTTGGGGACTTTCACAAGGAGTGGACTGAAGCTGGAGTCAGTGCATCAAGAGCCACCACACACAGACGGATCCTGGACATGGGCTTCAAATGTTGTATTCCTCTTGTCAAGCCTCTCCTGAACAACAAACAACGTCAGAAGTGTCTTACCTGGGCTAAAGAAAAACAGAACTGGTCTGTTGCTCAGTGGTCCAAAGTCCTCTTTTCTGATGAGAGCAACTTTTGCATCTCATTTGGAAACCAAGGACCCAGAGTCTGGAGGAAGAATGGAGAGGCACACACTGCAAGATGCTTGAAATCCAGTGTGAAGTTTCCACAGTCTGTGTTGATTTGGGGAGCCATGTCATCTGCTGGTGTTGGTCCACTGTGCTTCATTAAGTCCAGGGTCAATGCAGCCATCTACCAGTAGATTTTGGAGCACTTTGTGCTTCCTTCTGCAGACACGCTTTATGGGGATGCTGACTTCATTTTCCAGCAGGACTTGGCACCTGCCCACACTGCCAAAAGCACCAAAACCTGGTTCAATGACCATGGGATTACTGTGCTTGATTGGCCAGCAAACTCACCTGACCTGTACCCCATAGAGAATCTATGGGGCATTGCCAAGAGAAAGATGAGAGACATGAGACCAAACAATGCGGAAGAGCTGAAGGCCTCTATTGAAGCATCCTCAGCAGTGCCACAGGCTGATAGCTTCCATGCCACACAGCATTGAGGCAGTAATTGCTGCAAAAGGGGCCCAAACCAAGTGCTGAGTACATATGCATGCTTATACTTTTCAGAGGTCCGATATTGTTCTATGTACAATCCTTGTTTTATTGATTGCATGTAATATTCTAATTTTCTGAGATTGTGGATTTGGGGTTTTCATGAGCTGTAAGCCATAATCATCACAATTTTGATAAATCACAGCTTGAACTATCTTGCTTTGCATGTAATGAGTCTGTCTCATATATTAGTTTCACCTTTTAAGTTGCCTTACTGAAATAAATGAACTTTTGCATGATATTCTAATTTTTTGAGTTTCACCTGTATGTTTGCCTATTTCACTGTCTGACTGGATAATGATCTGTCTGTCTGCTCCCTCCCTCCCTCCCAGAATACAATAGACACCTTGAACATGCAGGTGGATCAGTTTGAGAGCGAAGTAGAGTCACTCTCGGTCCAGACGCGCAAGAAGAAAGGAGACAAGGATGTGAGTTGATGAAATATCTCTTTAGAAGCTTGTGCCTACAGTGCATTGGGAATTAATGGAGTAGTCCTGAAGAGAGAAAGTAACTGGCCCAGGGTACTCAAAGGAACTTCCATGGCTGAGGATGGATTAGAAACTGTGTCTCCTCGGAATCAGTCCAATATCGGAGACAGGTTAACTGAATTGTGAATTGACAGTCACTTTGCATTGCAAGAGGATAGCCTAAGTTTCATGCCCAAGTTGGACTTAGCATTTCAGAATGTAGCATATATTGGCAATTATTTCAGAGGCATATTTTACCTGTCTTTTTTTTTCAAAAAGCTTGAGCAGTCAATAACATTTTATAACATGCTCTCTGAAGATTGGAGAGACAGGATTCCCCTTCCAAGAGTTTTGTGGCACCAACATATTTGGAAGGTATTTGGAGGTCAGGAAATGGTGCATTATAAAATGCATTGGAATTAGTGAATTAGGAACTCACTAAGTCAGAACCTAACAAGCCCCCTTATGGCTTAGTGCAGCATTTCTCAACCTTGGCAACTTTTAAAGATGTGTGGACTTCAACTCCCAGAATTCCCAGCCAGCATTTTAAAAGTGGCCAAGGTCAAGAAACACTGGTTTAGTGTGATCCAACTTGTTCTTCCCACGGGAAACAGAAGCAAGACCGGATTGAGGGCCTGAAGCGGCACATTGAGAAGCATCGGTACCACATCCGGATGCTGGAGACAATTCTGCGCATGCTGGACAATGACTCCATCAACGTGGACTCTATCCGCAAAATCAAGGATGATGTGGAGTATTACGTAGATTCTTCACAGGACCCCGATTTTGAGGAGAATGAGTTTCTCTATGATGACCTTGACTTAGAAGACATTCGTAAGTGTTACCTCCAGGTGGACAGTCATGCAGGAGATTACAGTTGAAGTGGTTGCAATAAAATCAGTATAGTTTCCCTCCCCATAAAACTTTGGACCTTGTCAATGTAAAGGCAGCATCTGCCTTCAGAGCCCCCTATATTTGGCTTTCAGTGTTCACGGCAGATTCTCTTACTTTTTGAACTGCAGTCATGGCTATACATTCTCATTTAACAACCACATTCTATTCCAACAGTTGTTAAGCAAAATGGTGACTAAGTGAATACTTAGAGATGCTGGAAAGATCACTGTTTGGTGCCATCTCTTTCAGATAAAGTTCTCTGTACAGTGTCCTGTGTCTGACCATTTTTCCCCTGTTTTGCCTCCTCACAGAATGGAGACATAGCTTAAACAAGTGATTTCTTGCTGAACTGCGTTTGTCCCCAGCCCAGTATTTCCCTAAAACATGCTAACTGCAAGTTAACCAGGCTCAGTTCTGTGACATTAATTAGCTGATTAGAACCTGAAACTATTAATCATTTTCACATTGATGGCTTTCGTTGTTGGGCACACCAGTGGGAAAATGTATTTTTAATACCATTTATTACCATAGTATTTGCAAATAGACGCCAACTAAGGCAGTTGCAAAACAAGGCGTAGCTGTAATTTTTACTCATTTGTCAGAATTAATTCGTTTTTCCTCCAAGAAATAATGATGGGATTTTCTTTCAACAAAAATAGCTTTTTGGTATTAGCTCTCCTTTTATTTTTATGGACAGGTAGTCCTCGACTTACGACCGCAATTGAGCCCAAAATTTCTCTTGCTCAGCAAGAGTTGCTAAGTGAGCTTTGTCCCATTTTGTGACCTTTCTTGCCACAGTTGTTACATGAATCACTGCAGTTGTTAAGTAAACTAGCACGGCTGTGAAGTGAACCTGGCTTCCCCACTGCCTTTGCTTGTCAGAAGGTCTCAAAAGGAGATCATATGACCCCAGGACACTGCAACCGTCATAAACAGCCAATTGCCAAGCACCTGAATTTTGATCATGTCAACATGGGGCTGCAATGGTCATAAGTGTGAAAAACTGTCATAAATCACTCTTTTCAGTGCCATTGTAACTTTGAACAGTCACTAAATAAACTGTTGTAAGTCAAGGACTACCTGTACTTGACCTATAGCCACAATTGGGACAGAATTTCTAATTAACAACTAAGTGAGACAGTTGTCAAGCATCCAAATTTTGATCGTGGCACCATGGGGATACTGTTGTAAGTGTGATGAAAAATGGTCATAAGTCACTTTTTTTTATGCCGTTGTAAATGGTCACTAAATGACTAAATGAACCGTTTTAAATTGAGGCCTACCTGTGTAAGAGTAAGTGTGATCCACGAAAGCTTCTTCATAAGACATTGGTTAGTCTGTAAGATGTAAAAAGATCATTATATTTTACAAAATCTTGCACTTAAACATGTAGAACAGTGGTCCCCAACCTTTTAGGCACCAGGGACCAGTTCTGTGGAGAAAGGTTTTTCCGTGGACCAGAGGTGGCATGGTTTCACATGCTGCCTGCATCCTGCAGATAGGGCTTTGTTTGTTTGTCTGGCCCAGTTTCTGGCATGCTGTGGCCTGGTGCCTGTCCAGGGACCAGGGGTTGGGGACCCTGTTCTAGAATTCAAATGTACTAAGGTAAGTTTTCTGTGTTTGCCTTAGCTGGCCATAATGTTTCTGCCTGATTGCAGAAACATCTCTCTTCATCTTTTCTTGCTCTTGGTCTTCCAGCACAGGCACTGGTAGCCACTTCCCCACCCAGCCATAGTCACATGGACGATGAGATGTTCAACCAGTCCAGCAGCACACCCACCTCAACCACATCCAGCTCCCCAATCCCGCCCAGCCCTGCAAACTGCACAACGGTAAGGAGGGTTCTTGGTGAAGATGGTGAGGGAACATCAATGGGTTTGTGGGAACGAAGCATACATGCATGAACTGATGAGGGCTTCATGAGGTCAGCTTCCATGTTTACTCACAGGAGAACACCTTTTCCTGTGATGATGCTTACAGATGCCTTTCAGTTGTACTCGGGGCCTGCTAGCTACATCCGCCCAGTTCACAGGGCAAGGTTACAAATGTATTTTGCCATTGTCACCTTCTGGGAGATGCTGGTTTGCTTAACTAGTCTACCCAGTCTCCTCAAATGCCCAGTCTCCCTTCAAATATGAACCAGGGCTGAACTTTCTTCTCATCTTAGACAGATGGTTAGATGCTGCTTTGTGCTGAGGTACTCAACCTTTCTTTTTCCTTTTTAGGAGAACTCTGAAGATGATAAGAAACGAGGACGGTCAACAGACAGTGAAGTCAGCCAAGTGAGTTTGAAGCCTAGGGTTCTTCATCTTGTAAAGTCATGGTGGGAGAGGCTGGAAACAGTCAAGTTTTGATTAAGGAGAAGGGCATTAGGACTCTTTAGGGGAGGAAGAAGTGTTGGGACTAGTTAGTTAGAACTAATGGAGGTTCATTGTTTCTGATACAGTACAATCTAGTTTTAATGACTTGAGCCACTTCCCGAATTACCCGAGAAATTGCTTTTAGAAATCCATCCACTTCAGATCTCTTTGCATGCAGAAATACTGCATATTGAGGCACTGTTCCTCTCTCGGGCTTACTTGCACCTGCTTCTAACGAGCAAGGCGACATTAACATGGGAATGCATTTCACTCGACCAATTCCATGTATGAATTTCAAAGATAGGTAGCTCTGTACTTCAATAAGACTGAAATGCTTCATTTGGCTATTTATGAGAAAGGACAAGGGAGTCAGAATTTGGAAATCCCTACAGTTTTGTCTTTGTAATGGGGAAAAAAAATCTTTGCAATCCTATTTTGTATTTTTCTGGTAGTCCTCACCAACCACAGCTGAGACTGGCAACTCCGTCATAAGCATTGTAGTTGTAAAGTGACACATCACGTAACTCTACCCAACCTATGATGTCAGTTCTGATTGTGGTTGTTAAGTGAATCCACTGTCGTTAAGCATGATATGTAACTCTGACTGGCAACATTCTGCCATCTTCCCCATTGGCTTTGCTTGACAGAAGCCCACTGTGAAAATCATAAATGGCAATCATGATCTTGGGACACTGTGACTTGTAAATGTGTGCTGGTTGCCAAGCACCCCGCAAAAAATATAAAAAAAACAATTACAATACATTAAATCTATTTTCTTTTTCAATATTTTATTAGTATTTATTAGAATAAAAGCATAAAAAATTAAAGGAAAAACAAAGAAAAAAGGTAGAAAATAAGAAAATGTCAACAATTTGGAAAATACGTAACTTGGCAGTACTTATAGGTCATTCCGAGTATAGGGTCTCCTGCTTGAGCAGGTGTTTGGACTAGAAGACCTCCAAGGTCCCTTCCAACTCTGTCCTTCTGTTAAATGACCACGGGGATTCTATTGACAGCCACAAATGCTAGGATTACTCATAAACCTACTTGTTCATCATCTCCATAACTCTTAATGATTGCCAAACAAGCAGTCGGTAAATGAGGACTACCTGTAATTGATTTGTTTTTAATTTCTTCCATTTGTATTTGCTTTTGAGATATAAAGGGCCTGGAAGCTGTCCCATTTGATCAGAGAAGTGGGATTTCTTGGGGTAGACTGGGTGTCGGCAACCCGCGGCTCCAGAGCCGCATGCAGCTCTTTTGGCCCTCTGCCGTGGCTCCCTGTCCCATCATTGGCTGGCCCCACCCCTCGCCCTCCCCGCCCTCACCTGGCCTGAAAAGATTAGGGCGATGGCGGGGGATGGAGAAGTGGCCGGGGCTGATTCTCCGGCGTCTCACTCTTGCTGGAGCTTCTTCCAGCTCTTGTTGCTGCTGGGCATGCCTTGATCATTTGGGGAGATGCGCAATCTGTTCTCCACACCGAGACACTGGCCCGACCCAGCCGCGACCGACGCCAGCCTTGCTAACATGAGAGCTGGTGGGGTGGGAATGGGATCCAGGAGGAGGGGATGTCGGAAACGGGGATGGGCCTGCAATGCCCAGCCACGGCTTTAAGAAACTCAGGGCAGCAGGAAAAGGGGACTGGCCCTGCTGAAACTCGCACGCCCACCATGGGGGTCAGGCTCGGAGAAAGCCTGAGCGCCCTCGCCAAAGTCGCTCGCCCATCAAGCTCTCCTTGGGGCTCTTCGCTACTCCTTTTATTTCTTTTTTTTTGGAAATCCAGGCTGGCTGAGGAACCAGCTGCGGCAGAGGCTTCCCTTCGGGTGACCCTTTTCCTCCTCCCCTCTCCTTCTCCTCTCGTGACCCCCTGAGAGGGTGCATACGTGTGGGGAGACCCTCCTTAAGCAAGCGCCTGTCCCGCACATGCGTTCCTTTGCTGTGCTTTGGCCAAGCCTGGCCGCTCACTTGAGGGTCTCCCCACATGTGCACACCCTCCCGGCCCCACCACAGCTGGCCAGGGGGTCATGAAAGGAGAAGGGGTGGTCGCCTGAAGGGAAGCCTCCGCCATGGCTGGTGCTTGTTTCTCAGCTTGGATTTCCAAAAAGAAGAAATAAAGGAGTAGCAAAGATCCCAAAGGAGAGCTTGCTGGCTTGGCCCAGTCTCAGCTTTCCAAGAGAGAGAGAAGAGACACAGAGACAGAGAGAGCGCAAGAGCGCGTGAGAGAGAGATACACACACACATATACACACAGAGACACACACACACAGAGAGAGAGAGAGACGGGGAGAGAGACACAGACACAGAGAGAGAGATACAGAGAGAGAGTGAGAGAGAGGGGAAAATAGGTAAAGGGGGAGAGACACACAGAGAGGGGGGAGAGAGTAGAGCAAGCTGGGGGAAGATAGGGAGAGGGAGAGAGATAGGGAGAGACACACAGATACAGGGGGGAAGAGGGAGAGAGATACCGAAGGAGGGGAAGAGAGGGAGGGGGGAGAGAAATACAGAGAGGGGGACATGGGAGAGAGATACAGAGAGAAGTGGGAGAAAGAGGGTGGGAGATAGAAGGGTTTTGTGGCTGGGTAGGTGTGGCTAGGGGGTCATGTGACTGGGTGGAAGTGAGTGACATCGAGTTGGCCATGCCCACCCAGGTTTTGTAGCTCCTGGTGTTTTTTTTTTTTTTTCTGTGGGAAACGCTCTTTGAGTGTTTAAGGTTGCAGACCCCTGGGGTAGACAAATGAAAACAAACATTCCATTCTCTGTTCTGCCTTAGTCCCCAGCAAAGAACGGTTCAAAAGGCCTCCACCAGCCTCCTCCCACCATCCCTTCCAGCTACCCGATGGGCGGCAGCTCTAGCACATCATCCTCCGTGGGCAATGGGCCTGACTCCAACAGTAATGGGGCAATCGCTGGCAGTGGGAATGCAAGCAACAAAGCTAACCTGGCAGGGCACGCACCGACTACCCCGACCCCTTATGCGCAGGCTGTGGCACCCCTGCCTCCCAGCACCAACGCCTTGCAGCCCCGGCCTCCTAGCACCCAGCAGAACGCCAGCAAACAGAACGGTGCAACCAGTGAGTTTACTGTGGATGGGCCCCAGGTTCCAGGGGTGGCTGCTCTTTCAGGTTTTCTGCGCTTCCTGGGGTGTAAAACCTGCAGTCATGCTGAAGAACATGATCTTTAAAGAAGCTTATTGCCATTATTGGGGCACATGGGTGAGCTTTTGCTTATATAGGTAGTCCTCGAGTTACCACCACAATTGACCCCAAATTTTCTGTTGCAAGGTGAAATGTTTGTTAAGCGAGTTTTGCCCCATTTTACGACTTTTCTTGCCACAGTTGTTAAGTGAATCATTGCATTTGTTAAGTTAGTAACACGGTTGTTAAGTGTATCTGGCCTCCCTATTGACTTTGCTGGTTGCAGAAGGGGATCACATGACTCTGGGACGCTGCAAGCGTCATAAGTATGAGTCGGTTGCGAAGAGTCTGAATGTTGATTGTGTGACCATGGGGATGCTGCAATGGTCGTAAGTATGAAAAAAGGTCAGTCACTTTTTTCACTGCCATTGTAACTCTGAATGGTCACTAAATGAACTGTTGTAAGCCGAGGACTACCTGTATATCATTGCTGCTACTTCCACAGTGAGCTTAGTATAGGTGGTTCTCAACTTAAAACTGTAATTGAGCCCAGAATTAACAGTTGTAGGTCATTGTAGTCTTAGGTTGAGTCATCCACGTGAGGCATCCAAATGAGCACTGCAGTCACTAAGTGAACACCACAGTCATTAAGCTAATCCATCTTCCCAAATCGGTGTTTTTTTTACTGGAAAAAGGAAATAAATGCCGGAAACCAGCAAAAAAGGTAAATTGGGGTCACGTGACTGTGGGATGCTGCAAACAGACATAAAGGTGACCTGGCTGCCAAACCCCCAAAATGCCATCATGTGACCACAGGCGGGTATATAGTCATTGTAACTCTGGAAACAGGTTATAAGTTGCTCTGGGGAGGTCCGTTGTAATTCCAAATGGTTGTTAAGCAGCCAGTCGTAAAGCCGAGGATTACCTGTATCTAGACTATTGTATTAGCTGAGAACAATCTTCTGCAGTCTGCTGTCCTCCAGGTGTGTGGGATTCAGTTCCTGTAAATCCTATCAGGCTTGGCAGTCAGTTGAAGTGCAACTTATCCAGAGGGCAGCTAGCTGTGGAAAAAGCTGGTATGGGATAAGCAGGGAACCAAGACGAACGATCCAGAGCTCTGTGCTAGAGAAACCTTCAGCCTTTCTGTCTCCTGCCAGGTTACAGCTCTGTGGTAGCCGACAGCAGCTCAGATTCGACACTAAGCAGTGGCAATCAGTTGTTGCCTAACCAGACAGCATCACACAACCCACCCAGTGCTTCCACGTGAGTATCTTCCCAGGTTTTTCTGCATCCTCCCTTTGTTCCTCTTTTCCTATCTGTGGCTCCGAGAGTCCAGATAGAAAGGGTTAAATCAGATCCTGCCCTGTTGGACTGAGTCTGCATTAAAACTGAAGCTCCGCCCTGCGCCGTGGCCTCGCCCCAGTTTTCAACTCAGTCCAGCCAGGACAGGACATGAGTTGCTGAGGCTCCACTTGAATTGCAATTGGAGGCTTTTTGCATAAGAAAAGTTTTAAAGAGCAGCAGAGGCTTTTGGAGGACTCTGTAGCCAAGGAGTGAGGCTTTTAGCCTACTCGATTGGCTATTGCGTTCAGGGCAGCTGCCCCAATGTGCGGAGGTGCGAACACGTGGAGCACCTCCAGGCGATTGGTCTGATAAGGACTATCAGCTGTTGTGCGTGGTAGTGCAGCAGTAGCAAGGAGGAACAGCACTGTTTTCACTTTCGGTTTCTATTCAGTCACCTTGGCTGCAAAGTGCGAAGCGTACCAGCAAGCAGCAGCGGCTAAAAGGGGCAATCAGCCCAGAGGAGGATTTGCAGCAGCTGGGGGTGCAGCCGTGTGGCAATGGTTGGTGCTGAAGAGTGGCAAGGACAGGATC